CCCGTACCTTGACTCCTAGGATAAAATGCAAAGAAGTCTATTCGACAACACATTAGAGATCCCATAAGATACGACTTAAGAAACTCTTCTTCTCTTTTAGATTCAGTCTTCACACACGGTGATGACGTTGGTCAAATGGCTTTTCTCCCATCACTTGGGAAAAGTGACCATGCAGTCATCTTATTCAAATTCATGGCTGAGATTGCCTGTCAAACAGTTGCGCCAGCCCATCCTAACATATGGAAGGCAGATATGCAGGCAATTAACTCCGCAGCATCGGCTGAGAACTGAGAAATTGACTCAAAGGCATCAGTACGAGAGGCATGAACTCTATTCAGGTAGTTATACAATCGGGTAACTCAACCATTCATACCCTGGACTGTCCCAAAGAAAAAGAAGCACGGACATCCCTGGATAGGGCGGGATATTCGACGCTTACTAAGACAAAAGAAGAAATGCTGGGATGTTGCCATCCGCATTGGCACAGCAGGTACGATGGAACGCTACAGATCGATAAGAAATAAGTGTCTAACAAAAATTCGGGAAGCTCAAAGAAAATATGAAATGCAGCTGGCACAAGCTGCACTAAAGCAACCCAAGAGAACATTCTCGTACATAAGCTACAGAACAAGGATGCATCATTGGATTCCCAACCTAATTAAAGTAGGAAGTGAATCTGAAATGATAGAGGAAGATTAGGAAAAAGCAGAGGCTTTGGCTGACTATTTTGGGACAGTTTTCACTCAGGAACCTCCTCTAGAGAAAGAACCAGACCCAAATACAGAGTCAACAAACCAGCTGCTCACCGTGGACTTCGATCAAAACGATGTGCTTAAGGCTCTTATCATCCTAAACATGGAGAAGTCAACAGGACCAGATGAACTACACCCTAAAATCTTGAGACATATTGCCCACTGACTCTAATATTCAATATGCCACTTGACCAAGGTGTGTTACCTATGGACTGGAAGGACGCAATCGTCACTCCCATACATAAAACAGGTCCACGACAAGTTCCATCGAATTATAGACCCGTAAGCCTCACCAGTGTGGTAAGTAAAATACTGGAAAGAATAATCAAACGGACCATATCGGCATTTATGGGAACCAATAACTTGCTGAACATGGCACAACATGGTTTTAGAAAGGGTCTATCCTGTACAACGAACCTCCTTATAGCTAGGGAGCTCTGGATTAATGCGCTAGACAACGGAAACCTTGTTACTGCCGGACCTCTTTTAAAATGGATTAAAGATATCCTAGTAGGTCGTAGACAAAAATCAAGAATAAATTCCAAGTGCTCCATCTGGAGATCAGTACTTAGTGGAGTACCCCAAAGTTCCGTCTTAGGTCCTTTACTTTTTATAATGTACGTTAATGATCTTACAAGTATAGTACAGTCTCCAATGTTATTATACGCTGACGATGTGAAAATTTGGCGAGTAATAACTGGAGACAAAGACGCATTTACTTTTCAGGCGGACTTAAATAATATGATAAAATGGTCTAAAGAGTGGCTAATGCCAATCAACTCGGAAAAGTGTGTCTACATGCACTTGAAAGATTCAGAGGTTAATAGGTACAACACAGATGTGTCATTACCAGTAGTCCGGTCTCATAAGGATCTAGGGGTGACAGTGAGTAATGATCTTAAGACGACAGCCCATTGCCGGGAGGTCGCAGTTAAGGGGTGTCGAACCCTCTGGGCTTTAAAAAGGACATTCACTAAGTTTGATACTACCATGTTCACCACATTATACACATCCTTAGTGAGAACTAAGTTAGAGAACTGTGTTCAGGCTGCAAGCCCCTGTTCAAAAGGTGACTCAGACATACTAGAAAAAGTACAGAGGGCAGCTACGCGTGCAATTCCGGAACTCCGGGGTTTATCATATAAAGAGCGGCTTGAAAAACTGAACCTCTTTACTCTGTCCTATCGCAGACTAAGGGGAGATCTCATTTTGATGTACAGAATACTGAGAAATGATTTCGGACCTAACTTATTCTCTCTCTTTCTTCCCACTAGATCGGGACACCTTAGAGGACATAGCAAGCGAGTAGAAAAGCCAAGAACGAACAAAATACCCGCGGCATACAGGTTTTCACACCACGTCATCAATAAGGCTCATACAGAAAAACAGGTCGAAGCTCACGCGTTCCGAATTGAAAACATAAACTGCTTATATGTGAACGCCGCGAGTCTGCCAAACGAACTGGATGAATTACGTGAACTTAGCAACGCTAATAAGGCCTATCTGATAGGAATATCTGAAACCTGGATATCTTCTCAGTTCTCGGACCAAGAGTTAGCACTACCTGGGATGACTTTGTTCCGCAACGACAGAAAATTAGGAATTGGGGGCGGAGTAGCCGTATACATACGTTCTTGCTTGGAGGTGCACCAAGTTCATAACCTCGAGTTTAACAATCTTGAGGAATCCATATGGTGCTCTGTAAGATTGTATAGTACATCGAGGTGTCTAGTCGGAGTCATTTACAGGAAGCCAACTGCCGACATCGAGTACTATAGTCGCGTGCTGGAAGGACTATCTCGCTCTATCCGTCTCGGTTTCACACACATCCTGATTCTAGAGGACTTTAATCTCCCTAGAGTCAGCTTCGCGGAACACACGTACACTGGAGGCGAAAACTCAATTGAAGCTCGGTTCCTCAACCTCATCGATAACTTGGGCTTATACGAAAATGTGAGGTCGGCAACTCGTTGGAGAAACAGTCGGACGCCATCGCGCTTAGACTGTTTATTCAAAAACGAAGAATTCCTAGTTGACAATCTCTCAATCCTGGCTCCTCTGGGAAAAAGCGATCACGCAGTCATAGCCTTCAGTTTTGTCAGCAAAACTAAGCTAAGGTATCCAAACAATAATTTGCGTTGGAATTTTAAACGGCTGAATGTGCCAGCTCTACATGGCTATCTACAACGGGTTGTTTGGGATGTTCACCCTCAACTCGATGTGGACGGTCATTGGGACTTCTTACTGCACACGCTCTTATGTGCTACAAACCACTCAGTTCCTCAAACGGTTCCCAAAAGCTGCAAGCCACCTACAGTAATCAAGAACCGTACCCTTCGCCTGCTAAGCCGCAAAAGGCACTGTTGGGCGGAATACAAACGAACTGATAACGACAGAGCGTATAGGCAATATAAACATATAAGGAACATATGCACGAAGGCTATAAGAGAAAACAGGTTTCATTACCAGACAAAGCTTATGGACAAATTTGCCTCTAACCCTAGAAGCCTATTCCGTTATGGAGCCTCTCTTCATCAAGCCAAAACAGGAGTTTCTCAACTGCTAGATCTTAACGGCCCAACCAACAACGATGGCGACGCCGCTAACCTTCTGGTGGCACATTCAAACATTCCAACCGGCTGACATCAACTTTACTGACGACAGTTTCATCTGCAATTCCACAGGACTTTCCGAAGTGGACCTAATCGCTGACTTGGTGTTCCGGAAGTTGCAGCACTTAAGATTAGATACTTCTCCTGGCCCGGATATGGTTCATCCTGCCATACTGAGGGAGGCAGCCCCAATCCTAGCAACGCCGCTTAGCGTGATGTTTTCACACTCGCTAAGCCGAGGCAAATTACCGGAAAATTGGAAGTTGGCTCACATCACACCAATTTTCAAAGGAGGTCGACGTAATGAACCTTCAAGTTATTGGCCGGTGGTTCTTCTGTCATTACCTTCAAAACTCATGGAGTCCCTGATATGCGACGGTTTAAACGACCATCTACTGTCCTTAAATTTCTTCTCACCCCAACAGCATGGTTTTAGGAAGGGTTACTCTTGTATAACCAACCTGCTGACTGCGGTGAACAGATGGACAAGCATCCTCGATCGCAAGGGAAAGGTTGATATCATTTACCTTGATTTCTCAAAAGCTTTTGATAAGGTTAACTACTTGTGTCTTATCAATACGCAACCAAGACGATACACAGGCACTTCAGGAGGATCTGACTCGACTTCAAAGTTGGGCAGACGATAACGGACTTACCTTTAACACTTCAAAGTGTAAAGTAGTCCATCTGCGACATGTCGCAAACTACAGTTACAACTTAGGACACTCCTCTCTAGTAGTATCCCAAGTCCAAAAAAGATTTAGGAGTCCTGGTGCCCCATGATTTAAAGTCTTACGCTAACTGTGACAAAAATGCCTTCCGAGCAAACCTTGCACTGGTAACATTGAAGCGTATTTTTGGACAGTTTGACGGACGAACATTCCAGACAATCTTCAATAGTTTCATCCGTCCCCATTTAGAGTACGGAAACATAGTACTCCCCCACTCACTCCAAAATGACCTTGTCATTTTGGAGCGTATCCAACGGTGAGCCACGAAATCAGTTCGAGGACTCAAATCTAAACCTTACGAAGAGCGCCTCCATTCACTAGACCTTTACCCATTAGAGTATAGGCGTCTTAGAGGTGATCTTCTGATGGCTTATAGTATTCTTAACACTTCTGGACATCCTCTTAAACACCTACTTAAGCTTAGTTCGAATAATAAACTAAGGGGTAACACTCAGAAACTGGAGACACAACATAGCAAAACGAAATGTAGACATAACTTCTACTCCTTAAGAGTTGTCAAAAGCTGGAATTCGCTGCCGGCCGAGCTAGTCCAATCGACTTCTCAGGACTTATTCTTAAGGACCAAGGACAGCATCACACTATGATTTACCAATTTCTTTTCCTCTTTTATCGTTAACATACCTAGGTTCCTGCCTGGAGGATTTGGTGATCCCCTGCTACTAGACACAGAAGCGAAAGCTTCTTCTATTCCATCCACAACCATTTGAACAATTTGAACTTGGAACCTGCTGCCCGAAGCAGTGGTGTCCGCATCTTCAGTTGACTCTTTCAAGAGAAGACTGGACACTCACAGAAGCATACTAGAAAAGGGATAACATAGGCCGTAGGCCTTCTGTCCTTACTACTCAAATCTGAATCTGACTGTAGTAGTTCATATGAGTCATTGAATACCGGATATTGAAAGCGAAACTCTCCATTTTCAACTTGTAGGTCGTTGTGGGTGTTCATTCTTGTCGGTTGCCTCTTGTGATAATCGATCCTAGGGGCCATAATATTTTATCACTCGTCCAAACAACGTTTATTCAGAACAAAAACTCACAAAAAATCGAAGGCATCAAGAAAATGTTGACGTGAGTAGATTGTTGTGTCAATTCGATGCTAAATCGAATTTTATTTGTCTTCATTCATTCCTTAATTCACATTTATTTCAAGAATGATGATTGCAAAACCTCATTTTGACAACCTTAAGTAAGGACATAGTTGTTGAAATCTGAAAATAATTCGGCACTCGATTTTTCAGTATATAACTATAAATCGGGCCATAGAATATCCGACACAAAAGTTTTGGTAGTGAGAATAAGTGCTGGTAATATCATCGTTCTCCATTTCACTGGTCGTTTTCTTTGCACTCGGTGCCATGTTTTTTTGAATTGTTTAGTAAATATTACTTTACACCTATAAAAGGAAGCTTAGCCTATGCTCGTTCGATGACCGAATGGAGTGATAATAGTATCCACTAAATAGTTTTATCAGCTACTTTCCACTGAGCAAGGACCTGAAGGAGTACGGCTTAATTAAGACACTGGCCAAGAGCATAGTCTTCTAAAATCTTTTACTGACAATAAAATAAGCTTCAGAGTAAGTTTTCCTAACTTCAAATGCAAGTTGTTGCTGGAGGGTTAGCTCGCCTTGGTAAGGTTAAATTATAGAGCGAATTACTCGTCCCCATTATCTTTTCATTTGTTATGAAGGTGTCATCTTTTAATCAGGTAGGTGATTGCAAAAATCTCGACCATATAAGTTTACTGGGCATTGGTTCCTTCTGTCTCTAGTCGCAGTTGTGAAACGCATTGTGGGAGGTTAGGAACATGGATAGGTTGCTGGGACTTGTCCTTAGATTCCCTTGTTGCGTTATTTGCTTATGGTGGAACTAATCGGTCAGTGGTGCTAAGTTTGAGCTTGGGTACTAGGTAAAGGTGGTAAGTTGATTGGTGGGGCCGGAGTTTCTTCTTGAATGTTGTGGTAAGGCATATGTGGTAACTTGGGCAATGCATTTTTATGTAATATCCTTAGTTTGTGCTCGACTAATTAGTAATATGTCTACCTAATCAAACTGGTGATGTAATCATCTTTTTCTGTACTTTCTTCATGTTTATGCCGAAAGGTCTATTGCTAATTTTCTGTACGAACAATTGAATGTCGGTAAAACCTAAGCGAATCATAAAATTTAGTGTCTACAAGTTCAAATTTTGAGCAAATTACCACTTCATTTCCGTAACATTCTGTAATTTGAGTTTCTCCTCACCAGTATTTAGTTCGTAATCATTTTCAAGCGTGACTTGGTTTTGCTATAATCTGGGGGATTCTGTTTGACCATTTAGTCAATCTGTCTAGGATAACGAGTGTTTTGAATGTAAAATTAGATTAGTATAGATTAGAATGTCGGTCGTAAGACAGGTAGGGTCTGACACATACTGAAGTTGCCATAACACACCGACATTGCAAAATTTATTAAGACGAATATCAGAGTAGTAGAAATTTCAGTAGTATCAGTGATGATTAAAAGCTTGGACAGAGATAATTCTAGAAGAATAAACTTGAGAAAGATGATGTATAAAATAATTTAGAAACTAAGTCTGTCCGTAGACAAGTAAATCCATCTCCTCCATTGCCTAACTTTGATCAGTTGTGTTCGCGTGCATGTTATAGACGTGGTTGCAACGTGATTCAGTGATCCGCGAAATATTAAGATATTCAGCCAACTCAGTGGCTGTAATGGAGTACTCAGAGTGCTGAGTTGCAGATCAAAATAGTAATCAGATTTTTTTTATAGGGTCCACTTAATCAAGTGTAGTCACTCTATTATTTATTTATTCGAACACATAAATATTGGTACAAGAGGGCACCAAATATATATGTGCCACACGTGGTCACTCTAAGTGTAAACCCTTTTGAATTTAATATTTGATGTCCATGATACACATTAAAATTCGTTTTATCCAATAGTTCATGTGGGTTTATGTTTGTGTGTATTACTTTCCCATTTTACCTTATTCAGATCAGCTTTGGCCTGTCAGTCATTGCCACACTACTCTGATTTTGATACAACTTCAGAGAGTGGTCTTTCTGATTTATCATACGTTCTTCCTTATCGTCCGAAAAAATCCTTAACCAGGAATAAACCTGTGAAAGCTAGTCCTGGTGAAATAAGGCTTGGAGCAAGGGCAATGAGAAGATACGAAAATGGTATGAAGACATTTTTTGATCGATACGGGATTCAGTGTGTTAAATATTTACCCTATATTGGTCTAGAGGATTATTCAATTAACCATTGCTTTTTGTTATGAAGCAAGCACAATTTTGCAACGTTTAAGAATGGTATAAAGAGCCAAATTGTTTCATCCAAGCCTTTAACCCATTTGTTATACCCCTTTATACCATGAACTCAAGCTTGAAATTGTTATTTCTCGCTAGGAACTCATCATTACTTAACTAGGAAGTTGGATTCAGTGGTGAAGATTTATTAACCCTATACTATATTTTCTAAAAAGTTGGGTATGTGTTATAATCTCTTTTCTTACTACGGTTATGACCCAGCTATTCCTATTGCTTAGTATTCTCGGACACCGATTCACTCGACAAGTCCCAAAATCAGAACACGGTTGAACAGGAAAGAGATTATATTCCAAATAGCAAGTCAGAAGCCAGTAGGAAGCACAATAGGGAAAAACGTCAGTATATTTATAGTTTTTACATAAGAAGATTCCAGAATATTCTCCGACTATCGACTGGTGCTGATTGGATAAGAATCAGCCAATCAGTGTGCACCAAAACAATCATGCATTGAGCATGCTTTAATCTAGTCTATGTCCCGCTAACACCTCCCCTCTGAGCAGATTCGTAGGATCTGGTGCTAGGGTCCAACTGCAACTGAGTGACTGGCTTGTGCTCTCGATTAGTCCATCGTCTAGGCAATGAAGAATTATCACTTTTTCCTTGCACAGAGACTGACATGTCTGTTCCCGGCGTTTTGATTTTTCTTAAAAAAAAGTATGCATAACTTTTAATTCTCCAACATTCTCCTCCTCCGCGAAACAATGTCGGATCCTTATATCTCCAAGTTACAAATAATAGGACTTTATTTAAACGACGTTTCTCGCATTGAATGTCGGATCCACTAGAAACGACTAGATGATAATGAACGACCTTTGATTTGAGGTCAAAGTTTAATTCTTCTGAAGCATTACTTTCAAATCCATTAAGAATTTCATCAGTGGATAATGGATCATTACGGAAATCATCATCTAACAAAATTAAATTAGACTTTTGACCATAATTTGACTCAGCTGATATATTTTCCTGATTTTTATGAGAAATTTCATCAAAATAACATGCATTGTTCTGAGAACCCATGTCTGATACATTGTCATTAGAAATCGGATAAGCTGATTCAGTATAAATTTCTGTCTCACAATGATTTTGAGTAACATTCGGTATATTTGGGTTCGTTGTGTCACTGCAGTTATTTTCTGAATACGAGTCCTCATAGCTTTCTTGGCTAATATCACGTGGACCATAAATTTGTTCTAGCTGAAAGTTATTTTCAGAGCTAGACAGGACCAGTAGTGTTTCCTTCAATTCTGGACTCCGGGCTTCATCTACAGGGTCTGGCTCTTGATCATCTCGTATTGCCACAACTTTATGAGCATTCAGCACAGTATTTTCTTGCTGTGAGCCGGACACGTTACAAATAATACGTTCTGATTCAGGTATAAAGGGATTTGAACCCTCCACTGGATATGCTTCTGAAATGTCTGTTACTGCATCATAAACAGATTTCTTATTTTCTGGTCGAGTGAAAAGTGTGCTCAATAGTTGTTGTTGCAAGGCTAACAACTTCTGCTGGTGCTGTAATATTAACCGCAACTGTTCTAAAGAAATCGCCATTTTTCTTTAGTTTTTCCCCGTCGCCACTGTTATATATCGCTTTCTTCTTACGGTTAATGAACCAGCTATTCCTATTGCTTAGTATTCTCGGACACCGATTCACTCGACAAGTCCCAAAATCAGAACACGGTTGAACAGGAAAGAGATTATATTCCAAATAGCAAGTCAGAAGCCAGTAGGAAGCACAATAGGGAAAAACGTCAGTATATTTATAGTTTTTACATAAGAAGATTCCAGAATATTCTCCGACTATCGACTGGTGCTGATTGGATAAGAATCAGCCAATCAGTGTGCACCAAAACAATCATGCATTGAGCATGCTTTAATCTAGTCTATGTCCCGCTAACAGTATGGAATTTAAGAATGGGAAGTGAATCCATATCGTGGCACTGATTCATACCGCTGTAATAAGTTTAACAGTTTTTTTATTACTAAATCATTTCAAACTGGTATTCCATTATAATAATATACATATATAAACTGTGATTCAGTTTTTACATTTGCTTCGTAACAGCCTTAAAAATAGGGGTTTACAAGCTTTTCTTTATCTAAACTCTGGAAAATCTAGTCTTAATCGTTGGCAAGAGTTGTATTCTCGCAATTCTAAAGAGTCTAAAGTTAGAATGAAACAGCTGTTCAGTTCCTCCTGATTTTCAGTGACTCGATATGATATGGAGCAGTGGCTCAGTGATTAGGCCGTTCAACTTCCGGCCATTAGGTCGTATATTCGAACCTCGTTCCATCTATTCCATTTTGGATAGATGGCTACTGCCATACTAACCTTCATACTAATAGTATGGTTCTAAAACAATTGCACAAATGTGTACCTGGTTAGTGAGTTATTCAAGAAATATGCCAGTCTGTAGTGGATACTGACGCTTCAAGTCACGTAGTTATTTGAAATCTTCAAATCTAACAAAAGTCCACTACACTCACTAAATATTTTTTATAATAGTAGTTATGTTCAAATTTCTAGTGATTTATTGCTTGTAAGGCAGGCTGACTCAGGTTACGTACACTTTAGTCATTAATACATACACCAAGTTACCTGAACTTTTAAGAATTTGAAATCAGTATCTCTAGGTAAAAGAAACACGTTTAAAAACAAGACAAATCGTTTAAATTGACAAAATTCGACCATAGAAATTACACAATAAACTAAATTGTATGTGTGTTGTTAATCAACCGATATATTTTGTTCTCTTTTTTTCTTTAGAAGTTTATTTAAATACATTAGCTGTGATTACTGAAACCGATGGAGACAATATTGATGATTGTTGGCCTGAAAGTTTTAATTATTGTTCAACGTTTACTAAATTACTAGAAGATGAGAAGTAGGTTTTAAACTCAAACTATCAATATTACTAATAGTTATGTTGGTGATGCACTCAAATTATTACTAGTTTTCTTTTCAAAACGGAAGAGTCCAATCCATTTCAAATTGAGATAAAGCTCATGTCCGTTACACAAGCCAGTGGCTAGCTGGATACATTAACTAAGTGAATAACTCGATGAGGTTTGAAGCAAACGATATTTGATTCGAGTCCGGTAGTGAACACCAACTCTGGGATGCAGGTGGGTTCAGCTGAAGGGTTCCATATAGGATGAAATGCACGTCCTGGGCTCCATTGTTAGCCACATTCCATCTATTCTGTATTAACTTGTCATAGTTAGCTATCTAGAGGTAATTCTCTTAAAATGCACATTTGCAACTGAGACTGAACAACGGGATAAACCGACCCATTTAAAATTAAATGAAGGTTATTTTATTTCCGAATTGAACATTATTGCAGATGTTGCGTTATAGATATTTGAAAGGTCTTATAGTATATAATAATTGAATAGTTCATTTAACTAAAAACACTACTAATATGTAAAGTTTTATCAACTCTAACAGTTAAGTATCTTGTATGTAATTGGTATACATAACAAAATGTATAAAATGATACTTTTGAAGTGGTTAGTCCCGATAATTATTCTGATCATATGATAAATATATCAGAGGGTTATTTTCAGCTTGGTCCATATAATTGATCAAATTGATTGTTGTATATTGGCCACTGGAAATTTCCATGTGGATCATGGGTTAAGTGAGTTATTGGTTCATATCTAAGTGATTTTATTGTGGATTTCATTTTATGTATCTAAAGTTATCCGTTTGTAACTGTCTATTATAAACATATCAGTGTAGTGCGACTCAACTTGTCGGATAAAAAACATATATGGTGAAATTATGATTTGAATTTTTCTCTTTAATATCTAACACTCATTCACTAAATGAACAGAAAATTGGTCAACAACGCTAGCTACAACCCACTTATTGAGCATTGCGAATAGCCTTAGCCAATACTGTACTGACTTTTATATGGTTAAACTGTACATTTTGAATAATTCCTGTTCATTATTCTGTTCACGTGAAATCAGTCACATGCAAAAATATGTAAGGATTATGGTCTTGTACTGAATCGGGAAATAAGTAGTACACTATTCATTATTAGGATCAATAATTTTAATCAATTCTCGTCTACTTCACAAATTAGTTTACATATTAGAAACTACTTTTCACTACAAATTAAGTCATTGTGGATACTCTTTGGTTGTTATGTTTCTCCCATTTTTAAAATGAGTTCATAAATTAATTGAAGGAATATGAATTGCCAGTCCCTGCTTCGGTTTGGGCACCGGAGCAGTATCACAGCCCACACACAAATCAAGTGACCTGTGTGGCGCATATGTATTTGGTGCCCCTTTGTACCAATATTTATGTGTTCAAATAAATAAATAAAATAAAGAATTAGCAGTTTAATGTTTTACAAAATAAAAAGTCATATTCAACTGTAGATCAGGTTTGACCTTAGTTATTCCCTCCTTTGGTGGTACAGTTAGCTGAATGTTATCAGTTGTGGGAAGACTTTAGTTTTAACACAGAAGCATCTTTAAATTCGCATTTTTATGACGTTATAATAGTCATAAATTGTTTCCTGGTATTTCTGTTCATCACTTGACCCAAACTTGTCAATTGGTACTATAATCACTAATTGTATTGGTTGCATTTCATAAAAGCATTCTCTTATACACCATATTATCGCTACATAACTCTACTCATCATTCAACGACACAGTAGCCAGCAATACAAACTTGCTCTCTTCTCAAAATTATTCTATAACCTGGATTTTTTGGAGGGAAGTGTATTTGATACTCCAGCCGATGATAACTACAATAGCAAACTTATGGGTGGTATTCATAGAGAGCTTATTGTGATATTTTTGTTGTTTTGAGCTACAGGTATTAATTTCAAGGAGCTTAATTCTTCCACCCTTTTGCAATTGGTTTTTTGGATTTTCCAATGATGATCAGGATTTTTATCCCTTGTTTAATTAATTCTTGTTGACTATTTGGGAAATATAACATTTTCTTTATAGAATGGTCTTAATTGCGGTACTGTTGTAAAACCTGGGAGTACTGAACACAGCTGTTTGGCCCTAGTACGAGAATCCTCAACAACTCGCATCCACGACCTCGCCACAGATCAGACTGAGGACCTGAAGTTCCCTTGGTGAACGCCCAACCATTTGGATCACTGGGTTGTGACCCTGTTATATAATTTGTGTTTCACCATAATGATTATCTAGTGCCATCGGTAAAAATTGTTCCACTTTAGATGTGCCTAAACTCGACTTCTTTTAACCTCTCATTAGAAATTTAGAAACATCTTAAAGTAAGCCAATATGGAGCTGACTATTATTATTTACATGAAGGGGTTTTTTGATGAATACAGCCTACCAATGGAACCAAGCTCTACGATATCTCCTCAACTAAAATATAGCATTTCTCAACACATTTTAATCATCAAACAATCAAATGATTCCTGTCTATTATTTTAAAATGGATACATAGAATGTTGCGTTAAATTTATGGGCAATTTAATTCCTTCTTGTGTTTTTTAAATCCCTCCCCGTAGTATTCGAGCTGCTTGGGATGCATTTATTCAGTTATCTGAAAAAGAACAAGAGAAGCTTCTTGGTACACTTCGTGTAAAAAACAAAATAAATGATGATGAGATGGCAGATAGTGATGATTATGATATTGAAGATGATATATCATCATATTCTTCTGCTATTTACCATACCCCGTCTTTATCTCATACAAAACGTCATGTGAAACATCGATGTAGACGATCTAAGCGTGAAGAGAGGAAGAAACGATTTGATGATGTGAATTCACTTCTACAATCTAATCTTAATATGTGTAAGTCTAATTCATCAGCGTTGGTTTTAAAAAGTAGTTTCCACTTGTGTTTAATGTTTTATTCATTTTTTTGTGTGTGGAATCAGAACCAAGTTCTTGTGGTCTAGTTAAATTCTCGATAATTGGGTTTCATGACAATTGTAGTGTTTGGTATCACTTAGTGAGTTGATGTTTCTTTTTATATATTAGCCAATTTTATGCTTGATGTCAGCTTTTTCTATGCGAATAGTTCACCAATGATGTCTACAAATGTGGCTAAGTGTCACAGTGATTAGAGAAATTGGCCTTCAACCATTTGGTCGAATTTTTAATCCCTCACACTCAAGCTTTTACGGTTTGATCAGCTAGGTAAGTATCACTATCGCGTAATCTGCGAAGAGCTGTCACTTGAACCAGCAACAACTGAGACTCAAAGAAGAAGGCAAAACCGGCGGGAGATACAGATTTTATTTACCCTCAGGAAACACGTCTTTAGTCAAAATCGTTCATATTTTCAGCTTAAAATACCACTATGTATCAAGAAGTCTTCAGCTTCTCTGAATACCAACTTCGGTTATCAGTGTAGGGTATTGAATAAATTAGGGCTTGTCTCCAGGCTGCTAGCCTATTGAGCTCACTGCATCATTGAAAGAGCGGTCACATAGATTTGGAGATAAAATTAGATTACAGTACTTATTTAACTCAGTTGGACTCAATTTCCTAAGCACCAACCAAAACTTCCATGCACCAGGCGTGTAGCTCATAACTAACTGAGTACATAAATTTGTACTTGGTAAATCAAACTACAGATGAATTTCTAAATAACCCAAGTGTTTATCTACAAAGAAGTATGCATTTTCAAAATGTTTTAGATCTGTAGAAGTTTTGTTTGATAATCTAAATCCAAGATTAAGCTATGATCATTATTATCGTGTGACATAAACTGCTAATGAATTTCTACATAGAAATGTCATAATTTTACGCGTAGCTTTATAGTTTTATGCAGACAGCTCATTAATTAAGGAGGTCAAGACATGTGCCACGTATGCCTAACCCCCGCCTACCTCGACCAGGAATATTGGTGTAGGAGTGGACTGAAAGAAAACTAGGGGAAACCAAACCAAGGTGTGGTAGCAGTACATGAAATCTTTGTCATTTGGACTGAGCAGTGTTACTACGTTGCAGCTCGTGTGATTGTTGCAACCATTGGTTAGAGACTTTGGGTAACATGGCTCAGAATCGTTCTCAGTGGCAAACAATTTATACGAATGAGATAGTAACTCACTGATGACAATGGTGGATGTGTCGCTCACTTTCGGGGATTAGTTGAAGTTAGACATTAACACCGTTGGATGCCGGTCAGCTCAGTGGTCTAATGGGTAAGCGCTCGAGCGCGAGACTGATAGGTCATGTTCGAATTTCGCGAGGCGGGATAATGGGTGCACACTGCTGAGGAGTCCCACAGTAGGACAAAACGACCGTCCAGTGCTTCCAGGTTTTCCATGGTGATCTAGCTTCAATTGACTCATGATCTCAACTATTAAAATTATAATATCCACAAAACCCATTCTGATATACGAATATTCGTCAAGATTAGAACTAGTAGTTTGGCGAAAATTGGGCGCCGAGTATAGATAAGTCATTATATGTGATAATTATATTTGGAATAATCTCAGCGACTTAAATTTAAATAATTCAAACGTTTCGTCCAGCAAACTTGTCTGAAGTTCTTCAGGCTAATAATCAAAATCATCAAAGAAATATAAAGTGTTTAACAATTAAATCAAATTTATACTGTGCTAGTGCAATCATATTTAGTAAATGGGATAAGATGAGTCAGTTAAATCAAAATCATGTGAAAAGTTCACAATGTGAAAACAAATGACTGAATGGATTGTGTTTATGTGTAAGATTGAGTTTTCATATGTTTTCATATGAAGAAAAAATAAAAGTACAAGTTAGTTTGAGAAAAATTGTTTCTGAATCATTGATGTGCATGTAGAATGAGAATCATCAAATACATCATTGTGTTGCTAGAATAACCTACATTAATTTCAGTCAAAATAACGATCCATGTGAAATAAACAGGTTGGATAGAGAATGGGTTCAATTATTTGTTAATGAATATTTCCCAAGTAGTTGTTAGTTGAATACCATCATTTCTGTTCAGGTTGTTCTTGTTCGCCCACATATACAGCGCTTCTGTTGTCAATCTTTCTTTATATGTGTTAAAACCTTTCTGAAGTATTTTGGTCCCTTCAAAATTGATCTTGTGTTCTGTTTCCGACGCATATAACGCTATTGCCGGCCTATTCTCAAGTTTCTTTAGATCAACCAAGGATTTGGGAATATTTTTCAAACATTGTTTGTGTTTCTTCAATCTCACATTCAGTTGTCTGAAAGTTCCTCCCACATTAGCTGCACTGTAATCATGACAGTTGATCTCATAAGTAACATCTGTTGTTCTTCCTTTAGGAACCTATCCTTAACTTTCACTAATGTTGATCTAATAGTGTCACAAACGTGAAAATACACTCTTATATCATGTTTGCTTAGAACCCTCTCGAATTCTTCCGATGTTTCACTACGGTATAGGATGACCACGGTGGACTTCCAATCTTTCGGTATACATTCTAGTTTAGTTTTTCTTTCATGAATAATCTTTAAAAACTCTGAGGTAATCGTTATCCCTAAGTTTAGATAATTCAACCTGTTGGTTTCCTTATCTATAACGAGATTAATACATTTATTTCCAACTTATTATTATGTCTTCATTCAATCAAACAATCGAGAAACGCTACTTTGTAAGTGTATTCAGGAAATCACATTCTGAGAGGTTATGGTTTGGCTCATGCGTTTTGTACGAAAGTCACGGTTATAAAAGATTTAATTAACAGAAGTACTAATCTCATTACAGATAAGGAAGATCAACATTTGTACTCAGGTATTTTTTTATAATTTAGCCTCTATATTCGGACTGTTTTGTTCACAGTTATCATATACCTGTATCGTAACCACAAATGCTGTAACGTTTAATTTTCATTTGTAATGGAAGTCTTTCACTAACCTGTTATTTAGTAGTGTCAGATAAGTAAATTGATATTCATCAGTATCATGTAGGATTATTTCACTAGTTGTGAATTTTATTCGCAGAGCGTAGATTTTTCAACCATTTTCTGTTTTATGCTATGTGATTAGTTGGTACCATAATCTGTACAAATGATATAACGAGACTTATGTGATCTGTCGGCCGGTAAATCATTAGCAGTGGAATACCTAGGTCAATATAACCCAGGTACCTCGAGAAGTATCTTTCTACAGTTTCGGGACCGGATAGCGATGGCCATCCACACACCTCTAACAACGCTCTGGACTACTTCATGCACTATCAAATTCCTTCTTCACTAATTCATACTTCTTCCTTCCCTACCATCAACCCCTCTTCTATAGCTTACTCTTTTTCCCCTATCCGACTAGTGCTAACGATCGAGTTCAGAAAGTGCTATTCTTAATCTCCTGAAACCTCATGTTTGCTGTCTACGAAAGTCCTCTTATGTGTGGCGATTGAAGTTGAAGTAAACTTCCTGTTGTTATATGTTTCACATTAGCTAATTGAGCTACGGGCACTGTACTTTTGCGTACATTTTTTCAGTGTTTCTAACAAAAAATTTCGTACAATTTTAAATAAATGGTTTCACAATAAATTGGGCACCGAGTATATTGAATACATCGAAAGTGAAATCTTATTGAGATCACGAGCCGATCTAAGTTAACCATCGAAAACCTGGAAACACTGGGCATATGTTCCGTCTCAATGTTGGGCTCCTCGTCAGTGTACATCCATAACCTCACTACCGGAGATTGAGGTCAGGGTTTTCAGCCTCGCGCTCGATTGCTTAGTCTCTAGATCACTGAGCTGGGATTCAGTGGTATAAAACTCTAAATAACCAAAGATAATAGAAAGGCGTCGCGCGTTACTACTGATTGATTGAAGTTAGACTTGTGCACCACCGGATCGTGGCCCAGAGTGACCTAGAGGTTAAGTGTTCGCACAAGGCCAAAGGTCCTAGGTTCGGCCTTTGGTGGCCATGGTGTAAACGCACACTACTGAGGAATCCCATACTAGGATGAACAAACTGTCCAGTGTTCCCAGGTTTTCAATGGTTGTTTAACTTAGATCGGTTTGTGATCATAATAAAACTCAACAATCTGAACAATCATCATGCTGATTGATAAAGAAATTATATTTGTAAAAATCTATGGCCTTGAAATTAAACAACCTAGCAATTTAGTCCAACTTTCATGACGGAAGTTATCGAAGAGAAATGAGGTCGAAAATAATTCTATTCTAATTGTTCGTCCAATCATCTTCCAATATTGACTTTGTGTACGATGTGAAAATGTGATTCATTTTATTGTGACATCTGTTTAAGATGTGCCGTGTGGTGGTATGCGTATTATATGTGAAGATTTTTTTGTTAAATTTAAGCGGATAAATAACGATTCTGGATACAACCAAGGTCAAATGAAAGCTATAAGTACATTTTAATCATTCAATTTGATACTCCAAGATATTTCACAAGTATAATTTCCCACTTCATATGTTTTTCGATATTTGTGCAGAGATGGATGGTGGCCAGCCATGTAATTCCCGAACGTGCGTTTTTTCCTATTTGGAACTTGTCAGATGGATGTGATCGCGCCCCAGAGTTGATGTTCACTCCGGGACTCGATCCAAACAATCAATATGTATGAATTAAAATTTACCCCGTTGCACAAGCCACTGGCTAGCTGGATTCAGTAGCTAAGTGAATAACGTAATGACGTTTCAAGTGAACGGTACTGGATCTAGAGTCCGGTAGTGTACATCAACTTTGGGATGCAGCTGTATTCAGCTGAAGGGTTCCATATGGGACGAAACGCACGTCCTAGATTCCAGTGCTAGCCATCACCATTCATCTCTACTTATAATGCTTGTGACCTGAGGCAATATCAAGACAATGCTCTCAGGATGCACATATGCCAGAAGAGACTGGTCAATTGCATTCCTAGGCATGAATGGAAAGTTCCAAATTACTAATGTGTAAGTTTTTTCAATATGTTTAAAGAAGTAAAAAAACATATTTAGTGATATATGGATAATGCAATCATCCCTTACCAAAGCGATACATACTGATCGATTAGGGACTTTTAGGCAATTCAGTGTCTACTCAACTATTAAGTTCATATGCGAGTAAGAAACTGAAGGTAGAATGCATCTTGTAGATTTTCTATTGATGAAGAGAATAGATAAATTACCAAGAAAAATAAGATAATACACAAATCGTTTTTAGTTTCGTGTAATCCTCTAGTAAGTCCAAATAGTAAGTAAGGAAATCACTGAGGTGACGTACTCTGCAAAATATCAATACGTAGGTTGCTCAGAACAATTCGAAGAACAGTTAACTGTAGGAAGACGTTGATTTACAATCATAACTGTAGAACCTGATGAGAATTTATTGTGAAAAGAATATTCATTGTTCATATATAAGCCTTTGTTTTGATCCATCTATATTCAAGGATACTGAGAAAAAAAAACTAACCATTTCACACTAAATATGAGTATTAATCATACTATCTACCCGCTTGTCCAAATCAAAGTAGATAAAGCGAGTCTTGAACCTGGGACTTAAAGACAAATAGCTGAATACCTTAGTCACTAAGCCACTTCATAGTTCCCTGTACTTGTATCTAATAAAATTGTAGAAAATGCTTAAATGAGAGTTTAAGATGAATTTTCTCAGATTATTCAATATCAACACCATTGTCATGAAATGACCAATACGTAATATATATGATACTATTATTTATACGCATAATGGAGAAAAAGAAAGTATTTCCGTTTAGTTGGATTGTTTTTTGTTGTTATAACTAACGAGAATGATATTTTTCATTTATTGTTGACATCACGAACTCTTCAGGAGTGCGATCCATGGTCCCACTGTGGACCAAACTCAAAACCTCTTGGGTCTCTCCACCATATTTTAATCGTTTAACCACAAGTCAAATAGATTACCCTGGTGGGTTGCCTAATCAAGGTTTTATTCATTCAAAACTGATTACTTTAGTCAACTTTTAAAGTTTCACTCGAGTGTAATTTCATACATGTTTTTTTCAGTGTTTTTTCTCCAAGTTAGCACTAAATGATATCGGATATGTTAGGCAAGGTCTTAAATGATTGGAGTGCAAATGACCAATTAATTGCCTATGCAATTTAATCATGTCTGTTGCCTTATCAATAATTTACATTTAAGCACGTTATTTTATCAAATGAATGGTTTAATGCGTATTATACCAACTATCCTACAACCTATTTCAATTATGGTTAAATTTGGTTAGGCTCTTTTATTGACTTAACAGTGAATATTATTGGAACAGTAACGATTTGTCCATTTATTTGCAGCGTTATGATTACTAGATCACATGACAGACTCGAACTAAAATGTTGATCGCTTAAATATCACTCAATGATTCATCCTTCTCCCCATGTATATATGTAATCAAATCCTATCATTAGCCTTTGCTTTGCCTTGCTGTGCCCTTATGCTATTTGACTACAAATTTACCTGTGTTTATTCGCACACACATATTCGCCTCTCCGCTTCAAATTCGCTTGATGTGATTATAACTAAGTGATCTGTGGTGTCCGCTAATAAATTGTAGTTGCCGCTTCTGTTTGCCTTCTGATTTCAAACACCCTTGAGATTTATGTTATAACGGTGATCGAGGTGATCGATTAACGAAGCAAAGCCACTATAGTATCTTGTATTCAATCTCTAGTCGATAATTTAGTGTCATATACAGCCATCAACTTGGTCATATTGTATCATTACATATCATCTATCAATCGGTATCGGGTTTATTCATTTTAACAACTACAAACCTCGTTCACCTATCAACCACCCCCTCTGTCATACTATATTGAAAATGTAGTAGTTGTATGTCTACCGTGCTAAAGCTTGTGAATCAATTTAATCACTGCGAAAAATGGACGTTTTCAAGCGTTCAGTTTGTTATTGCTGTGTTCCAGTCATGATCCTGGTCATTTCTTTATTTTCAATGGACAGTTTGATCGTGTCCTGTTCAGAGGATATATTTTCTTTTAGCATCTATCTGCAGTAATATGATAACTTAATATTATTATCTTTATTTTTAAATACATAACTAGGTGTATCTGTTCAACCAGAAGATAATAACAATGTAACCAAAGATAATTTGCATGATTTAGAAATAGAACGGCGTATTCCTACTCGTGTATTATCGCTTGTATCAGACTCTATTCCTACAAACACGATGACGATGAACAATTTAAAACACAATCGAAAACGTTGTAAACGTCCACTTACTCCGACTGATATTTGTTTAATGCAACGAGTTGAAGTTGAGTTGAGACAGCATTTTTTCTCTCAAATTAATTCAAATAGTATTGTTGGTCGTTGGACACCATCATTATCATTGTTGTCACAATCAATGTCACCTTCAATGACTAACAACTGTACGAATAATAATAAGAATTATTATTCACATCCAGATCTATTGTGCTTGGATCCATTTCAAAGATTATTGGTTCATTCAGTTGCTAGCTATTTAGGGTTGAATTCATATAGTAAGTGTTTTCTTTAACAAATGGTGATCTAAAAAAGGTTTTGAATCATTTCTCTTACTTATTTTCTTCCTTCTGGTTATTGTTTCAGCTATTCGATCGGTCATAATCAGTGTACATAGGAGCTGAGACAAAAAGATGCGTGTTCTGGTTCCAGTTTCCACACAGACAGATCAAACGAACGAGGGGAATAGTCTAAATGATTTAAAATCGTAGTAGTATCAATGATGGTAAACATAGAGAATATGTTACTTACGCTTTGTCTTCCCCACTAAGGATTACAACTGACCAATCTCTGTTAGTGTATGTACATTCTGAGTGAATTGCCTTAATATTTCCATTTAGTCATTTGCTTTAGACGCATAGTTGTTTAAAACGAAGGCCTCTATGTTCGAGTTTGACACTGGATATCAACACTGTGATGTTTTTTCCTACGTCCAGCTAACAAGTTCCGAGTAGGACAAAATGCTACGTGTCCCAAATCCCCACTCTTAGCCATCATCAAAATTTAATAGAGAATTTAATTCGGAAAGTAAGTTTAGGTTCACTGGGTGACCGTTAGCACTTGTTAATTTATATCATCTATCAATACGGCTCAAACCATTGGTCAATGATGTCTATTATGTTTAATAATATCCTAAATAGCTAGTCTATAACATTATTGCTTAATGATACTACAGATACAGTTTACAAGTCTTTTTCTCATGGTTGTCAACTTTATTAAAATGTAATAATTAATACCATCTGTTAATTTGCTATTTGAAATTAGTTGGTAGGAAGTCCTAGTCAGTTTGTAGCGATAAGTCAGTGAGCAAGGGGTTCGACTATCAACCAATAAGTTCTGGGTTCAAACCTTATTCCACCAACTTCGTTCTGGGCAACTGATAGTATTACTAACCATCAAACTTATATTGTTTCATAACCAATTACATTTATCTTTACCTAGATAATTATCTCAAGTTTCGGGCCCATTGTCGACATTCATTAAAAAGGTATATCTGCAATCTTGAAGGTAGTGTTGCTCTCACTGGTATTTTTCGAACCAACTTGCATGGAATCGGAGGTTGGAACTAGTTGTCTACAGATTACCTCCAACCACAATGTCCAATCACTTGGTCATATGATCTTGTTTCAACTTGAGCTGTATCGTAAAATCAACACTAAGAACTAGTCTAGACAAACATATTGGTTATAAATCAATAATCAATAAATGTAATATTAGCTTGCTGCTAATCGTAAATCTTTCAGCCATACACTTAGAAATAATGATTTATGTACTGCATAACTATTAAAACCTCAGTAAGCGTAACGAGGTTGAAATGCTTGACCAACTGACGACTATCTTTATCATTAAACCTTAGCTTTAATAGGCAAATGATAAATTTGTTTAACTCTTTGTGTATTCTTTGATTAGTTGTATAATGGTATTATTTTTTTGTTAAATTTATGTATACAAAATACCTTTATATGTGTTATACCATATCGTTTAAGGTACATGGTCTAATTCACTGGGTGAACGTCAATTATGGGTGGAACAAATTTTAGGTAAATATAGTCAACCACCAAAGCAACACTTTGTGACGTTAATTGAACAAAAAATCAAACAATCATCAAAATCATTGTCATTGAGTACATGATAGTGATCGCTGGTGTGTGTGTGTGTAAAAGATAGTTTACTTCCCTACCATTTTTAATTGTTGCGCTGTTTTCCCCTTTTCATCTAACTATTCCGTTATAAATCACGTTTATAATAATAATAATAATAATAATAATAATAATAATAATAATAATAATAATAATAATAATAATAATAATAATAATAATAATAACAATAGTAATAGTAGTAATGATAATAAATGTGGCTGTATTTGTTTGGCTTTTCAAGAAAAAAAGTAGTGTTCTAATCAGTCATGTTCTTTCTTACTCGAATAAAAGAGCGCACGCCCAATGTTGTTGATCAAATATTGAAGAGCCACATTCTTTACTAATGGATTCATGTTATTGATTTTTTCCGTACTTCTCACCTATTTCTCTAGTTTATTCTTTAAATTACTGGTGTAAAAGGGTCTGTGGAGATTGTCGAATTTTGAAGTATACATCACGAACTGATCCCGGCTGGGTAATCATTTTAAACTAGAAAGTGCTGGATAATTGTTTCGTTATTGTTTTGGGATTCTTCAACAGTGAAGGCAGTTACCCACCAATCGAATTAGAAAATGGTCACACGATATCGCGGATTGATTGAAGGTATTCGTTGAGTTATGTTTTGCTTTTTAAGAAGTTCGAGTTCGTCATTGTCGGTTTTAAGGACAGCACAAAGTGTATATATGTATGCATAAAGTTTTATTGTTGCTACGTTTGAAGAGATTATGATATCACCTAGAACCAGCGAAACGGAACGAATACAGCAACACAATAACCAGACAAGCTAAGCTATTTCACTACTCCCCAGCTGTGCTAACTAGAGAGAGAAGACCAGATTTATCCCGGAGCAATATATACTCCGAAAACAATCTGAACCACGAACGAACAAGCACAAAACTCATGGATACATATACAGCATTAAAATATACATCACGAAATAGCGTACTAAAAGAGTAGACGAACCAATGACATTTAAGGTCCTTCCAAGTGGGAAATGCAATCTGAAGGTAAAAGTGGGCCTTTTTGATGCCAAAATGACGAATTCAAATTTCCAAAATAAAATTACAAGAATAAGACGTTTACCAAGTGACTTATAGGGATTTAACATCCCCAACAATTGTACTACATATGGATAAAAATTTCCAGTTATCACGCTCAGTCACTACACAGTTCTTAACAATCAGGTCTGCAATGCTTTATCGAATGGTTCAAGACTCTATAGTTAGTGACTTAGCATCTTTTCATTGTTTTCACCACGGGTTAGTCTTCGTTAGACAAAACCATTAAAAATCAGAAAGCACTGATTTGCCTGTTTTGCTATCCCATAGAGTAGAACTAGGTAGATACCTTGACCTCTCGTAGCGAGCCTTTAACAATTAGAACCACTAAGCTGACCTACAATAGTTTACTTGTTTAACGCTCCAATCAATTTGCGATATTATGCAACAATCTTTCAATTCCACTAATGGGTAACAACTTCACAATCAACTTGAGTAATCGATTGGTTATTTAATAAATCTTGACTACATGCAGTTGATAGTTACATACGTATTATATAATTTAGATTTAGTCTATTTAACACTTCAAGATTTTTCAATGTTCATATATTATCGGGACACAGTGTGTTAGTATCAGTAAGAGTTTGTAATTTCCTTTCTTTGATATTCAGGATTTCAGTTGACCAATCTCCCTTTTCATGTGTACATTTTGAGCGAGTCGTTTAATATGGCCTTCATACCTGTTTAACAAGTTAGTGGCTATATGTAGTCAGTAGCTAAGTAGATAATACAATCAACGTTTAAAGCGATAGGTACTAGTTTCGAGTCTCAACGGGAATATTAAAAATGTGATATTCAGATAAATCTAGCTGTGAAGTGTTAAATAGGAAAAAATGCCCGTTTTCGATCCCACTACTAGTCATATGCTAAGTATACTAAGTAGTGCGTTTGATGTCCGGACAACTCATTTACGCCGTATTTGCACTATCATTTATTAATAGTAGTAAAGTAAGTAGTAGATTTCTGCATATCCTCCCGCTTCAGTTGGGGTTAAAGAAGCTTACTGATCCACATAAGTTTGGTTATAAATATGAACAAAGTACTTGTTTCGGACCATAGTATAATGATCAGTTTGGACAAGGGTGTGAAGTATATTAGATGTGGATTTCTAGACTATACCTCTGCTTTTAATTTCGCTCCAGAACTATTGACGTTAGACACGTTTGCTAGCGTTAATACTGAGAGCTGGGTAACTAACTGCTTGTGTCCATATTTTCATAGCGGTAAGTATTCAACCTGGTGTGTCACAAGGAGCTGTTTTCTCCCCTTCCCTTTTTCTACGTGGTCTTCTATCTTCTACAAAGAACACTTGTTAAGTATGCGGACAATGTACGCCAGTTTCTTCCTATTTGGATCTCCTTGAAATGAAGGAACTGTTATCGCTCACTAAACGATAGTCTATTTCTAATGGTCTTGCACTAAATCCCTCTAAATATCTAGCTGTCAACTTTAACCTAAAACATACACAGCACTCAATCACGTTGTTAGATCACGTGAAATTCGCACCAATGAAGATTCGGTAGTAAAAACCATATTAAATATTATTTATCTCTGTGGAAGTTTTTCGTTTGACTTATTTTCTGAAGAGGCTAAATGTATTCAATATTTACTTTAAATATTTGTAAATTCTTGTATATTACTAGTTATTTTTTACTGTTCCTCAATATTCAAAAAAATTGTTATTCTTTAAGAAGACAGTAAAGTGTGTAATGAATCTTTTGATGTCATTATGAATATGGTTGTGAATAGATATTTGGGATCTTTCAAACTTCTGGCAAGTGTTATCTTATCAGAATCCATTAAATAGAAATAGAAGTGCATAAGTTCTACAGCACTGTGTTTATCGTATCTGCACGACGAACAGGATGTGAAAGCTGACCTAAACAAGAACGTATACTCTTGAATGTGTTTTGAAGACTCTTATCTTCTTTCATAGATATCATTTAATATTAAGTAATTTTATTTACTTATCTTACCTATTTATGTATATATAAATATCTAGCATAATTATGAATTAGCTTTTATTAAAGAAGAAAAGATGGTTTGAATGTATCATAGGTGTTCACTAAAGATTGGTGAAAAATTGGATATTGATAGTTACGGTCAAAAATATAATTTGTAGAATGTACCATTCAATTTTTTGGTAGGCAATTAAACCCTGGAATAGGTTTTCAGTGAATGAATTCGTGTGCCGCCAGAAGCATGAGAGCAGCGGTCATTTCCCAATTGTTCACACCTTAAAGTACCTGAAAATAAAACGAATTAGAAGTGGTCAAAACGCAACAATTTGAGGCCGGTCATATATGGCCTTTTTGAGTAGTTTTAGATGAGTTAACCACTTACTTTTAAAGCCTTGTCGTCGATAATAAAAATCCATGGGGCAAAGTAAGACATGCTATTTTTAAGGTCCGTTTTCATCCCTTCTTGTTGTGGATGGGCAGTATCACTGCAGATGCTAGTTGTCTAGCAGAAAGACCTTAGGGCTATCACACTCATATTCAGCCGGAATCACGACCTCTTCCACACTGTGGATTAACTCCTTATAGTCTGGTCGCCCTACAACCAACCCGTTGGGATGGTTCCAACCAACGTAACTCAATTGAGCCATCACGTCAAAGTAGCAGCTTCAGTTAGAAAATAAATGATACAAATTATGAGGATCCGTAATTATTAAACATTGAACTATTCCTAATATGTGTCGTGTCCATCGACATATTCAATTCGCATAAACACCAGTCTAGTGACGGATTTGAAGTTAAAGCATTCGGTTTTTTCGGCGGCAAGTCACAGGATTGAGACTTTTCCACCTAATTTAGTGTCATTAGCTTTCACTTAAATATTGTGGCTTGGAGCCTGTATATGTGAAATTTATATAATTATGATGATGTGCCGAAACTAGAGATTTTTCATTAAACTTTTGACTTTTCAGAAATCCTTTGAATCCTAACAAGAAGTGTAATTAAGTTACTGTTTCGTTCATTAACCCTTAAGTCATTCTTTAATATACATCGTATTTGTCTAAGTCTAATGTACAACAAGTTTATTTATGTATTTGAAGAATCATGGAGCCTGAAATAAGTAACTAGAATTTACAAAACCAACTCAACTCTTTCTTGAGAACTTTTAAAGTGATATTATTATAGGAACCTGACAAATTTCAAACTTTAGATATTGATGCGAATAATGATTTTCAAACATTTCTTAAACAAATACTTTGGTTAGTAGAAAGTGTAAACTTTAAATTGATTCATGAATATTTCATTGTCATCAGCTGATAGTACATAGACTAGATAAAATCATACCCATCGATATACTTTGAATTGTATTATCTGAGAATCAATTTCGTTTATTTATGCTGACTACTACTTATTATGTGAATAATCGACATCTTGACTTTATTCGGGATGTAGAAATTTCTGTATATAGTCGGATGGTGAAAGCAGTTCTGCTCTCTTAGTGAAAGCTGACTTGAGAATTGAGGATATTCGCTGACTCCGAGCTCGATCATGGTTATCTTCGAACTGTTGCTTATATTCAGTGATAAGAATGTGTAAGTAACGGTCTGGTTCGGCAAGGATAGTCATGATAATTCATTGATGTTACAACCTCAATACACAAACTTAGCTTGAACATGTTTCAGGAATGTCATTCCGGCGGTTTCCACACTTTATTGTTTACTAATTATGGAACTGGATGAAAAACTGAAGGGGTTAACCAATTATGAAGTGGTGCTACTGAACGAACGACAGTTTTAAGTAACTAGCATCTCTTAGTCCATTATGACTACCTGGTTATTGTTCTTGAGATTATACAACTTAATAGCTGATCTTGCCGAACATTACATTCTTCGTCTAAGTAAGATAAATCGTTTTCAGCCAAAAAATTATCATAATTGTACCTTTTAATTGAAATGCCTTTTATTAAATAATATTTTTGATTATTTAATGATCATATGACCTTACCACTCACCACTTTTTTCACAATATCTTCGTTCCATTTTGTATAGCGCATTCTTTAGTACCGAAATTTAATGGATTATAAATGAAGCAAAGATAATCAAAATGCTATCCAGGTTAATGAATTAATTATGTTAAAAGTTGATAACGTAATATAGTGAATTAAATTTTAAAAATTTAAATAATACCATTAAGATGGATGATAGTTAGAGGTGGGACCTAGGGTGCGCGTTTCGTCCTATTTGGGACAGGATGCACATACGCGGATAAATGACTGATCAGTTTTAGTTCTAAACATCAAATGGAACATCCAATTAACCAATACATTTGAATTAAACTTCACCCTATTGCACAATCCAGTGGCTAGCTGGACACAGTAGCTAAAATATAGCGCGATGGAGTTTGAAGTGAACGGTACTTAATTAGAGTTCGGTAGTGAACATAAACTCTGGGATGCAGGTGGATTCAGTTGTCGGGTCCCAAATAAGACGAAACGTGCGTCCTGGATTCTACAACCAACCACTACCATCCATCTCTGCTTATGATGCCTGTGATTTACTGGGACTATCGAGACAGTTCTCACATTTGCCAATAAGAGACTGATCAATTGGAAGATTCGGATAACCAATACAGATGAGTTATCATTGAAAGCATGGAAATCTAAAAAAGAGTCGGTCTGATGTAAAAACATTTAACAATATGAAGATGACGCACAGTTGATCTGTACAACTGACTATTATAACCTCATATGATAGAGATATGTTCAGTAAATATTTATTCATATGCATAATGTAAGTATCCGTTAACATAATGGCAAAGATTCCAGGAGTATTAGAAAAACGGGAAGAACGTCACAGCTTCACCATTGTAACATCTGTTTGAGTTCATTCCACATTTTGGACAGACATTAATCACTTTGACCAGATGCGATTATTGGATTATTTCTTTACCCTCCTTATAACTTCATTTTTTTCATCGAAAATTGTAATCATCATTACATATACTTTATATTCGTATCCTTGTGATTCTACATGTATATATGTATTATGTGTGTTTTGTATGTTCTTCACTTGTTATCTTATCCAATGCCTGTCTCTTTGTCGCATTATGCGTTATCTATTTTGATTTATGTTAATATGTGTAATAAGTAGTATTTTGAGTAGACCTGTTTACCTACTTCGATTCGCATCTCTGGTCTATGCACTAGTGGATTTCATTAAATACATATTTCTCAAGTACTCTCGTATTTAACTTATTTTATTCCATTATTCACTAGCGTTGGTAAGTCGATAAACGTATGCGAGATCAAATAAGGAACTATATTTCACCATGCCTCATCGACAATCTCAACCGGTATCAAATGAAATCCACTAAAAGCAGTATGATTGCTAGTGTTCTTTCTTGTTTTTTGAATAATTTTTAGTGTTAATATAATGAACAAACAAGAATTCGAAATACACTACAATACTGCTGTAAAATTCTGTGCTTATAATTCACCAGATTACAAAAAATGAACCTAAAATTAATCTCATAAGTTATGGTTATGCAAAAACGCCCATAGCTGACAATATTTGCACTGGTTAATCATTAAGTAGTGACCAATTTAATGTTTGTCTAGTCCTTGGCGCTGACTAACTTCTGTTGGCCATGGTGCTATGTGACCACCACTTGAAATGTCTCGACATTAGTTACAGTATGTTTTAGTATCAGGTGGTTTTCCAGGAAACTTCAGATCTAGGTTCCGTGCTAGCTGACACTTGTCAGCAAAGTGTACTTATAATTTTGAGGGGAACAATTCTCTTTTTGGAATATCAACTTACATTACTTAGTTCCATAGTTTGAACTGTAATCACTGAGCTAGTTGAGCCGCTATCTCAGTCTCCTCCAATAAGCTAACAGCGTTTGAACAGAGTTGGGTACATTCTTTGTTTGTACAGGTTATTCACAGGTAGTCTGGTGAAGTGATGCATTATGTTGGTATAGATTACGTTGAATCAGATTAATGATTAATGAAAACTATTGGCTTCTGCTTTACACGTCGTTAACTTACGTCTCACCTAGTCACATTACTGTAAAGAAGACAACTCATGATCTGTCAATTGGACCAAGTGTTTAACTGACAACTACACTTATAAGAGCCCCCAAATGCCCTGGTACGGCCGAGAGTGGGGAGAGTCCGCTATACCTCTCGAAATGCTCTCACATGGCCACGCGTATATAGCCTCTGCCAGGGAAGTCCTACTCACTGACTCCTCGCACCATGGGTGTTGTTTCCGAAATTGAGAGGACGAAAAGCGAATGTCAAGCGCTTTAACCGGGTTGGTGGACACGGTGAGTCCACCTAGAGGAGTTGGAAAACCCTGATTTCAAACCAATGGTACACATGTGCTCCAGTATCCTGAAGGAACAAATGGCGTATGAACCGATCGTTGGACCCCGGCTACCATGGGAATGCATCTCCTTATGTTGCTCCAATGCCCTGTGGAACAGGTCGAAGGCTCCGGGTGTGGTCCCCTAAGAAAACCACCTACTTCGGTTTGGGCACCCGGGCAGTATCATAGCCCTCACACATATCAAATGAGATCTGTGTGGCGCATATGTATTTGGTGCCTCCTTGTACCAATATCTGTGTGTTAAAATAAAATAAATAATAACACTTATAAGAAATATATTAGAATGTATTGAAAAAGGAATTGACTGCTTATCGTTTATTAGTTTGTTGCAGTATGGGCTGTGGCTTGAAAAAGAAAGAAATTATACCTCACTAGTTAAACTATTGATCTACATTTTCGTCACATCATGTCTATTGATGTAATAGTTTATCAGTGATAATCAAAATGAGGTTAACAGGCGAGTAAACGGAAAAACAGAAAAAATCGTTTTTGTACACAACAGCCAGTGAGCTGTATTTGATTGATCAATTTCACAAGTTGATTATTCATTACACTGTTAAAAATAGTAATTTCTTACTCAAGGTGAGTTGTTCGTAGCTAGACAGGCACTTAATCAAATGAATGATTATATATACCCTTAGTAGATGTAACAGTTATACACAAGCTTAGAGATGTACAAATCACGTTCCATTTTGCCATGTATTATCTAACATTATTATTGATGACAGTTATGCACTGGAATTCGACCATTATTTGTAAGCTAACAGAACATTTCAATCATATGATAATCATAGTAGTAGTGAAAATGCTGTGTAGATTTCCCTTGGTATCTTGTTAAATGTATTCAACTGTATTGCAACAGCTGTTTAGTTTTGCGTTAGTTAATGTAGATTAAAGTTAAAAAAAGTTGGAAATGTCATTCTTTTGTATAAACAGTAATAAGTCAGAGACAAATAAATAATTCTATTCAGTCTGTTAAATATAAAAGTAAGAAAATATGCATTGAATGGCATGAGTTTTATGATGTGATACATTTAATTTCGTATTACATTTGTCTTTCTTAACAAGATTCGGCGAGACTATAATTTATGGACAAACCAATCAGGTATAAGATAACGGGTCTCCGATATTGGCGCGAAATTCACTCATCCATCTGACGAAATAGCGTCTTGGAACTATAGATTATGTCAGTTCGTGATGAAAACTCCAAATCTAATTCCTAACCTTAATCATCAACTGTGAATCATAGTCCTTATTCTTCAAATTGCTTTATAACTTCCAAGGTCGTCCATAAATTGTAGTCTCATCCAAGACTCTCTTGTGTTGAATTAAAATCTGGTTAATTATCAGATTGCATATCAATCCATAGATTTATCTTTGATATACAGTTAAGGAGGGTAATTGGAAACTACAAATTGTTTTAACTCATTAAAATAGTGAGTCTGAATTTATTGCTCATTTCAATGGATAACCTTGATAACTGACTTCATTAGTTCAACTAATGAATCACAACTCTGAAAACTAGCGAAGACTGAATAGATACTTTATTCTAGTTTGAAACTGTTCAACAATGTATACCCTACGATTCTACACCAAATGGAATCCAGACTGGTCGTGATAGATAAATAACCTTCACTACAATTCTATGTGACTAAGTGTATCAATGATCGGAGTTTCAGAAGTTTATTTAAAGTAGTCTCTATTGACGTGATAGTATAATACAAATACGAATAGTGCATTTAACCAGTCACTAAGTTACCGTTTAGAATACATAATGTAAATCATCATATAGTTTTGAGAAAATTGATTGCTAACAATACTAACTAGTCGTTACTTCACATGAGATTTCGTTGGACTCTAATAGTTATAGAAACCAATCAGATATGTATACATGTAATACCATATGAGTTTAGAGAATATATGTGAGTACTTTCTAAATTTGGTGCATAACTGAAATTGAAACATCAAAGATAACAAGCTGGCAACTCATTTCGTTATATTCACCTTCGGTCTCGCGCGCAAACACTTAACCTCTAAACCACTGAGCGCACTGCTGAGCAGTCCCGTACTAGGATGAAACCACTGTCTAATGCGTCCAGATTTTCAGTGATGCACTAGCATTGACCCATTTATGATAACAATCTAAACTCAACAATCTCCACAACCCTATATTGATTATTATCATTTTCTCTCAAATCTAAACTCTATTATGCTTTCTCTTTCTATGTTTAGGTTGAATGGTTAGTTGTTAGTTTTTGACCACAAGCTAATAAGATCACCTAGAATGAATAGAAAGTTGATTGTATAAAAATAAGCAATTGTTTTTTGAAAATTTATGTTTAAAGTTATTTAGCAATTTATACCTTTCTTAAATAAATGAATTAAGCTGATACTTTGAACGTAAACAGTATGTTAGCATAGGATATGTACAGTAGGTTTTACTCTAAACCGAATATGTCAATCAGGAGGGCTTTTAATAAACTAATCTTTCAAGAGTATATGCTACTCTCAAACTACAACATTATTGATCTATTCAGACTAAGATGAGGACTTATAATTTTTTACAAATGATAAGTATGATGAATTCTAGAGGAGTCGATTTCTATAAGCTAAACGGCTTAATTATTAAAGTTTCGTTGTTAATTTGAACAATACTGTGAATGTCTAAATCAAGTAGTGATAGGCTTTGTAGAATAATCCCATAAATATCAAGTTGGTCTATTCTGTTGAGTTTATCTATGATTGGTTGTTATCGTATCTTTCGTCTACTTTTAACCTTTAATAAATGTTTTCGTCACAATAACCACTGAACATAAATTTGATTGATTTTAT